AGTGATAGTATATGACACAGTAGAACTGCTCTATAGTGTTTCCTAGGCTGTAAACTCTATGGGACCAAACTACCAGATCTTTTCTCCCATGGAGTGGCTGGTGAGTTCAAATTATTGACCTTTTAGTTAGTATTTGAGCACTTAACCATTGGACCACCAAGGCTCTTTGAAATTAAATTTTCTGAAAAATTCAATAGATAACCAGACTGATTTTAATGACCTTTTATTTCTTCATTTATGATGTACTTAATGTCATCACATAAATCTTGTTTTTTTTGTATTCAGTGTTTAATGTAACAAATCTGTTCTTGATATGGTCTCTAAATTCAGGTAGAATGTATTCAAGATCACATTTTGGTTCTCATGGATTTGCATTAATTTTCTTCAGCTCATCCTGAGCCTTCACCTAAACAATTGATGGTTCTTTCCACAGTCTTCCCCTTCTTTATTGTTTCTTTCAACAGATGTATGATGGACTCAATTTGATTCCTGTGTCTTTCATTTGATGAGGTCTACATAGTGGTTACGAATCGGGCTGCGAACCTTAAGGTCAGCGGTTCGAAACTACCAGCGGCTCCGCGGGAGAAAGATGAGGCTTTCTACTCCCGTAAAGATTTACACCCTCGGAAACCCTGTACAGGGTCGCTATGGGTCGGAACCGACTCGATGGCACTTAACAACAACAACAATATGCAATGAATATGTCATTTATCTTGCAAAATTCTACCATATAATCTCCAGCATCATTTTTATCATTGTCATACTTTCCAGTTACTGACCCTTGCCCTTTGTTTCCATCTTTCACATGACAAGTAATTATCAATACAACTTGATTGCATGTTTTTTGACTTCAGGATGAAGAAGTTGGTAGAAGTCAATTTCACCTTCATTGAATTTTGTGGTTTCTGTGTAAATCTGAATACTAGTGCAATTAACTGGTCTTCCTCTTAGGTGTATGGATATTATTCTATCACATACAGCATTGTGTTTCAAGACAGACATTAGACTACGAATGCAACATTCATCAGAGACATGGAAGATTATGCCAATACAGTTTATGAATGAGATACGTTCTTGAACGAGCTCTAAGAATTTGAAGGTAAGTCAGAACAGATATACACAGTTCTTAATAAGTACAAAGAAAGAAGTCCTGGTTATACAATTGCTAAAGTTGCTGGTTGCTAAGCAAAAGGTCAGCAGTAAGAATTCACACACTACTCCATGGAAGAAAGATATAATAATCTGTTTCTGTTAACATTTACAGCCTTGAAATCTTACAGGGTCACTTTGAGTCAGAATCCACTGACAGCAAGGAGTTTGGTTGGATTTGGTTAATTCAAAATAAAGTTCAAAGTCTTTTTTGAAACTTTTCATAGTAAATTGAGATAAGATTTGCAGAGAAGAACATCAGTTTTATATTCAGCAGACAATGCACTTTGCTTCATCTCAATATTTGCAATTTGCTCACTGTAACATCACTTAACTCACTTCCTCCCTGTGTTTCTCTCTTTCACTCCTCCTTCTTTTCCAACCTTTCTGTATTTTGTACTTTGGTAAATGTGGCCCTTTTGATCTCAAATGATTGACCATTTTACAGGGTGCATACTTCACTGTTGTTGGTATTGCCTCTTTATATCAATATATTGCTTGGCATAAAGTATTAAAAGAAGATTGAAGGAGAACACAGAGTCACTGTAACAAACAACAGTGATACCAGAGATGTAGGCAGAGATGGGGACATGGAGATAGGGAGCAGCTGAGGACTCTAGATTCATGGAAAGAAAGGGACTGAGAGCTGGTGGCCAGAGGCAGGCTTGCAGAATGGGCCCTTTGGTGGTTTAAATGATTATCTATGCTTGAGTTTTTTGTTTGTTTGTTTGTTTTTATGTTTTATTATGAGTTATATGATAGTTTACATGAGAGAACCTCAGTTCCATATTCATTCCATCATATATCATTACATTGCCATGGTTCCAATCCCCTCCATGCAGTCTTCCAACCAAAGGGCATATCCTAGAAGCCCGTGCTCTATACTCCTCCCTCCCCACTCATTCTTCTGCCCACAGTTCCTCTCTCTCTCTGGATCCAAAGTTTCCAGCCGCTTCACTCCTCCATGTCATCATCTCTGTCTCCATCTCTATGCCTGAGTTTTTAAAACAAAAAAGAGCTAAAATGAATAGAAATACTGCTAACTAATGGTACATGGGGGGATTATAATCATTGTAATGAAACAAACTATATGATTTGTTAAATGTAAAACAGAAGATCTGCCCTGTAAACTTTCAATCAAATCACAATAAAAAAGAAAAGAAACTATGATCCAAATCAGCTCTTTTTTTTTTTGTTTTTAAACCTCTCATATATTGTAGAGTTCAGCTTACCATACAGAAAAGGTCCATTTTGTTACCTGGTTCATCAGGGTGCTTTGGGAATAGCTCATGTTTGACAATTAACTCTGGTGGCAACTAACTCTGGTGACAATCCTGTGTTTTCTACATCAATTAAACTGATGCAGGTCCAGGTTGTATAAAACAAAACAAAACAAAAACTAGAAGAACAAAAGCACTCATTTGAACAGAATGATTAATAGTTTAAAATCAGGAAATAGTTTGCTAATATTGTGTTCTTTCACCATACTTAAACAATCTGTATGCTGAGCAAATAATCTGAGAAACTGGATTATATGAAGAAGAATGTGGCATCAGGATTAGAGGAAGACTCATTAACAACATTCTATATGCAGATGACATTGCTTTGCTTTTTGAAAGTAGAGAGGACTTAAAATACTTACTGATGAATATCAAAGACCAAAGTCTTCGTTATGGAATACACTGCAATGTAAAGAAAACAAAAATACTGACAACTAGACCAATAAATTGCTTCATGATAAATGGAGGAAAGATTGAAGTTGTCAAAGCCTTCATTTTGCTAGGATCCACAATCAACACTCATGGAAGCAGCAGACAAGACATCAAACAACAGATTGCATTAGACAATCATTCAAACAGAATACGGGGATGCTGAATTGTTTAAAATTAGCAAATATTTACAGCAGGCTTGTATCCTTTCATCACCATTTTTCAATCTGTATGATATACAATAATCTGAGAACCTGGATAATTTGAAGAAGAAAGTACCATGAGGATTGAAATACAGTTTATCAACCACCTGCAGTATACAGAATACACAGCCTTGCTTGATGGAAGCAGATACTTAAAGTACTTTTTAATGAAGATCGAAGATTGCAGCTTTCAGTATAGACTACACCCTCGTGTAAAGACAACAAAAATCCTCAAAACTGGACCAATGAATAGTATCATGATAAACAGAGAAAATATTGAAGTTATCAATAATTTTATTTTAGTTTGACCCACAATAAATAGTCATGAAATCAGCAGTCAAGAAATCAACCAATAAATTGCATTAGGCAACTCTGCTCTACACAAGATCTCTTTAAAGTATTACACAGCAGAATGGTAACTTTGAGGGCTTAAGTGTGCTTGTGCTATGCCATGGTTCTTTCATTCATCGCATATGCATTCAAACACTGGATAACAGATACAACTACAGGATGATCAATATATTTGAATTATGGTGTTTAAAAGATTATTGAACAACAATGGCCCAAACATAGCAATTGTTTGATGAAATTAAAGAATTCTACCAATGTCTTAAGTCTTATGAAAATAAACTCTTTGATTTGTTTAGTATGATTCCAACTTTCTTTTAATAGCACAATGCATAGTGTCGCTATGAGTCGGAACCAACTCGATGGCACCTAACAACAAGAAGCAATATTTGATAAAAGTAAGAGATTGTATATTTTCTGATATTCAATTAGTCAACAAATATGTACTAAATGTCTACTAATTGCCAGATATTGCTCTAAGTACTGTAGCCACAGGATTGAACAAAGTAAACAGCAATGTCAAATGCTATAGACTGAATTATGTCTCTGCAAAAATATATGTTGCAGTCCTAACCCCTGTAACTGTCAATGTGACCCTGTTAGGAAGTAGGAATTCTGAAGATATATTAAATGAACACAAGGTTATCCCAGAGTATGGTGAGTACTAATCTGATACGACTGATATCATTATAAAAGAAGAGATGGTACAAATAGACAGAGAAAGGATGCCATGTGATACTATAGCAGCAAACTGAGGAATACTAGGAGTCATTTGAAAGTAGGAGAGAGCAATGGAACATATTCTCCATAAGAAACTTCGTAAGGGATGAGCATAGCCAATAGCATAATCTCATACACCAAGCCCTCAGAATTGTGAGATAATAAATTTTTATTCATATAAGTCACCAAATATAAAGTATTTTATTATGGCAGCCTTAGAACACTAATACACCAACTATGTTGAAACTTAAATTTTAGTGAAATACAGTATTTATAAAACCATTGTTGTTGTTCCTGCTATTGTAGTTAAGTGCCTTGGAGTTGGTTCTGATTCATACTGACCCTATTGGTGGTGCTGGTGTACCATGAAGTCAGTTCAGTGACCCTATTGTTGCCGTAGTTGTTAAGTGCCATAGAGTCATTCCAACCCATAGCAACCCTGTGTAGGTGAGCTTGAACTGCCAACCTTGTGTTTCAATTAGACTTTGCAGTCCGGTGCATTAACCCACAGCACCACAACAGGACTCCTAGTGACCCTGTTGTTATTGTTGTTAGTGCCATTGAGTAAATTCTGACCCATAGAGACCCTGTATAGGGTTTCCGGTGAGCTTGAACCTTCAACGTTGCAGTTTAAATGGCTTTGCAGTCTGGCACATAAACCCACAGCGCCACACCAGGACTCCTGTGATCCTATTGTTGTTGTTAAGTGCTCTCGAGTCAGTTCCGACCCATAGCGACCCTGTATAGGGTTCCTGAGGAGCAAATGGTGAGCTTAAACCACCAACCTTGCAGTTCAAACGGCTTTGCAGTCTGGCACATTAACCCACAGTGCCATCTTAGAGACCCTTAAATAAAAAGAATCTTTACTGACCTCACATGAAATTTCAGAGGGAAGCACCATTGCCAACGGTACATTAATTTCTGATGCTTCTGATAATTCTGCAGTTTCCTTTTTCTCACTTATTTTGACATGATGTTCTTCTTTTAGTTCTGTTGGAATGTTGACTTCAAAGGAATCCCCAGAACCTTGAGAAAATATCATTAAAAATGATACTAAAATTAAAATGAAGATATAGTTAAGGCCATTAATTTTCTCCATGATATATATTAATCCCAGGGTAATCAGTTTAATCAATATACAAGATAACCAAACGGAGTGCAAGATAACTTAAATAATTTAATGAATACTAATAATTAAAGTAATGCTTTACAATTTCACTAGTATTATCAATTTTATGTTTTAACTAAATCAGCTATATAATAACATATTCATATGCTAGCCAAATGTTTCTCAAAAAATAATCAAACTACCCTTTATATTTTCTCTTACTTATAAAACAGTAAATCTGAAAAAACATGGAACAATCTCTTTCAATCAAAGTTCTTAAGAAATGTTGCTTTTAGATCAGAGTAATTATTCACTCTGCATGTATTTCTTTAAAAAAAACACCAATAAGCATAACTAACAGTAACTAAACTTCATTTTAGGAAATAATAGTATTTCTTAAAAGATTAACATGTCTATGAAAAACAGAGTTCCTTATGGAAGCCTTCATTGTTAAGGGCCATCAATTGTGTTCCAACTCATAGCCACCCTGTACAGGGTTTCCAAGAAGCAACTTGTCAGTTTGAACCTATACTCTTGTGGTTAGCAGTCCAAGGCTTATGCTACAGCACCAACCAGGACCCCTGGAACTATTTCTGAATATATTTCAATATGCTAGTATGAGCTTTGAGCTTAAAGAAAGTGATAGGTTTTCTGATTTTTTAAATTTTAGTATTTTATAACACTGTCCTGTTTTAAACGAAGAAACAGAGACGTGTTAAGAAAGATGGATAAATATTTTTGCTCACTATTTCAAAGCATGGAGACCTGGTGTGATGCTGAGGGCTAATGCACTGGACTGCAAGGTCCGTTTGAACCGCAAGGTCGATGGTTCAAGCTCACCAGCTGCTCCTCAGAAACCCTATACAGGGTTGCTATGACTTGGAACCTATTGGACGATGCTTAACAACAACAAAGCCTAGTGTTTCATTAGGGTACAACACTGATGTATTCGAAAAACCAAAACTTACACAAGGACATCATATTTGCACATTTGCAAACTCTTAGGCTTTATTCCTTCCTTCAAGTAGAATATTCCTCAAATCCCCAAAGAATAATTGGAAAAAGAAAAGGAGACTCAGCAACTGTCCTGACACTCTCAACTAGACCTTGTTGTTGTTGTTAAGTACCGTCGAGTCAGTTCTGACCCATAGCGACCCTGTAAAGGGTTTCCAAGGCTGCAAATCTTTATGAGAGCAGAAAGCCTCAGCTTTCTTCCTCAGAACCGTTGGCAGTTTCAAACTGTGGACCTTGAGGTTAGCAGCCCAGTTCATAACCACTAGATGCCTTTTTATTCAGTATAAACTATTTAACATAACATCAACATCAGACAAAGCAACTCTGGAACCATGATAGATAAAGAAACATAAAAGGCCACTCTGTGCTCATGTCTGAATTCAGACAAAAGAAGGACATTGCTGAAACAGCAAAATGATCAAACATCCCTATCGCAGCTACTATGACTGGCAGCTGTTTCTTTACCAATTACAGCTTTAACTTCTTTCATTTTTCCCACCTTCTAGATGGAGTAACTAACTTTTTCCAGTTTGATTAGAGATTTTCCTGGTCTGGGCATTGCAAGTCCCATGTCCCAGGAATCTACTCTATCACAAGCAAACCAGACAGTTGGCCACCCTACTTCTAGATAAGTCATTAATATATAATAATAAAATTAGATTTGCTTACTAACAGAAGGAAAACTATGTTGTTGTTACTAGTAGCATCATGTCAGTTCCAATTCATAGTGACCCTGTATAAGGGTTTCCTAGGAGCAACTGACGGGTTTGAAATGCAACCTTGTGGTTCAAACCAACCTTATGGTCTAGTGCTTATCTTGCAGTGCCACACAAGGAATATCACAAACTATGTTTTTATTATAGTTAAGTGCTGTCGAGTCGATTCTGACCCATAACAGCCCTGTACAGGGTTTCTGAGGAACAGTTGGTGAGCTTGAACCAATGACCTTGTGGTTCAAATGACTTTGCAGTCTGATGCATTATCCCACAGTGCCACACCAGGATTCCATCACAAACTATAAGAAAGCCTTAATTCTTTGAACACTCTTCTTAAATTACTTACCAAACCAAACTAAACCAATTGCCACTGAGTCAATTCTGACTCATAGTGTAAGGATTCTAAGACGAAACCTTTATGGGAGCAGAGCCTCATATTGGTGAATTCAAACTGATGACCTTATGGGTAGCACCCCAACACCTAACTCACAGTGCCACCAGGGTTTCTTAAATCTTATACTTAGTCATCTCTTTCAACCTCATCTGTCAGTTTGTCAACTGTCAAGGCTTATATATTGCTGTGATTCTGGAAGCTTTGTCATGGGTATTTTAAATATCAGAAGGGTCACCCACATTGGAGTGGTTTCAGATGAGCTTCTAGACTAAGACAGACTAGGAAGAAGGAAAGACAGACTACTTCAGAATTGTTAGTCACTGAAAACATTATGAATAGCAGTGGAATAATGTGAGCATCAGAATATTTAATACTGAAACACAATGAAGAGCACCAGAATATTGGCAGATGTAGTGGCAGAAGATGAGCCCCTCAGGTTGTAAGATACTCAAAATGCCACTGGGGAAGAGCTGCCTCCTCAAAATTGAGATGGTTTGATGATACTAATTAGGTCTTTGGGACCTTAATTTATTGGTTGGGCACAATTCAAATTGAAGATAACAGTTGTAAAAATCCATTAATCATCAGAACATGGAATGTATGAACTATAAACCTTGGAAAATTGGTAATTATCAAAAAAGAAACAGAGCTCATTACCATTGCTATCTCAGGCATTAGTGAGTTAAACTGGACTGGTATTAGCCATTTGAATCTAATGATCACCTGGTTTCCTATGCCAGGAATGACAAACTAAAGAGGAATGGCATCACATTCATCATCAAAAAGAACATATCAAGAATTGTATTAATATATAACACTATCTGTGATAAATATTATCCATACACCTACAAGGAAGACCAGTTAATGTCGCTATTATTCAAATTTCCACACCAACCACCAAAGACAGTGACGATGAAATTGATATTCTACTTCTTCAATCTGAAATTCATCAAACAGATAATCAATATGTATGGATAATTACTGGTTATTGGTATACAAAGGTTGGAAAAAGAGGAAGAATCAATAGTTGGAAATTATGGTCTTGGTGATAGAAATGATGTAGGATATCACATGATATAATTTTGCTAGACCAATGACTTCTTCATTGTAAATATAAATATATATATTTAAGTGTTTTATTGTTAATTATGTGATAGTTTACATGCGAGAACATTAGCTTTACATTTATCCTATTGTATATAATTTCATTACCATAGTTACAACCCCCTCCATGCATCATCAACCAACCAAAGGGTATACCCTGCAAGCCTGTCTCCGGTCGTCAGCACACAGCCTCTCTTCCTCTCTGGGTCTAGAGTCCCCAGCCGTTCCATCTCTCCATGACATTATCTCTGCCTCCATCTATGACATCACTATTACTCTGAGTAGGGTCAAGCACTCCGCTCTTCTCCCTTGATGGTCCCAGGGACCTCCACTCCTGAACTGCAAAGTCAATCACTCCCCTCCTTTTGCTACAAAACGTCTACCTTTACGTTTCCAACCTTCACAGTTAGTCGTAATAGCAATTATTCTCTATTATACCACAAGAGACCCATCCCCATCTCATTTCATCAGTCCCGCCCAGACAGATTGGATATTACTTAGGGGAGATTCTACTTTCCTCCATACCCTCTGGATCTAGTCTCCCTCTTGAAAGCTTATAAGTCAGTCACTTCTTGTCTTTGTAGCCACCCTGTTTTGGGTATCCAATGCCCAAGTT